CACCAAACTGCTGCATCACAACAAAAACACTACCTTCGCCTGAGGTTCGGGACTAAAATCTCATTTTTAAAAAGTTTGTTTATATAAAAGGAAGGAGGAGAGGCTTTGAAAGCCACAACACACATTGCCATATTGGGCAATATTTTGTAAGTTACGTGATAYTGCAGATTGTTTAATCTTGCTTAATACTTTTAAATCCCAGCGTCAGATTGTTTCTAAAAGCAGATTTTGTTCTTGCAAAATGTTTTTCGTTTTTTTTTTCCTACAGCCTAAATTTTATGCACCATGTTGCCAGAAGCATCATAGATTTGTGGTAAGTGGTGTGCAAATATCATCCCACTTTCAGTGATCTGGATGCCAGTGCTGGCWCGTGGTTTCCCCCAGATATGGCTACTGTAAGTGTATCTGATGCCCAGCTTGTGTTTCTACACCTAAACATCCAAATCTGATGGCCTTTAACTGTGCTGCGAGCCTCTGCTGGTGTGAATCTGCAGCATTTTTTTTATTTCCTGCAATTTGTCTGGAACTTGGAGGCCAATTTTGAATATGCAAGTTCTTTTCATCCCTGCACAATAATTACTGGTGATAATAATAAAAAAGGACCATTTTGTGTAATGTTGGCACACTAGCTTCTCATTTGGCCTTTTCATTGTGACATAATTGGCCAAATTTTCTACCTCAAATTTTTCACTTTTACAGATTATAAAGTCGGACACTGTCCACAAAATAAAAATAAAAAATGCAATAATAGTCTTTAACAAAAGTGAAACAACAAAAATAATTATTTCTAATTTCGACAAGCCTTCCCTTCTGCTGGCTTTGAGCTGCAGCTCCTTTTTCTTTTCTGTATGTGACGCATTTTTTTTTTGTCTGGAGGATCAGGCTGCGTGGAGAGCCAGGCACAGGGGGCAGGAGCTGATAAAGAAGCGAGGCTGCTATCAGGACACAGGGCCCGATAAAGGACAACACTCACCGCCGCCGCCGCTTCCTGATTTATAGCTGATGCAACCTTAGAGGAGCCACGACCAGAGCAACCTTATTTTGCAGACACTTGTATTTTCTGTTTAGTTTTTTTTTTTTTGTCACAGAAAACCTTCAAATAGCAGCTTTTGTGTCCAATATATTTGTGCCCCTGACCTATCTGAGTTGTTGAGCGAGGAGGAGAAATGACATCTTTGTTTCGTCTTCTCTTGTACATTTTTAGACCTAAACCATGAGGAAAAGTACATATATTTCAACACCTGATTCTCATATTGGTTAACTCCTTATTTCAAAGGGAGGGGTACAATTAGGGTTCTTTACAAGCTTCTATTTCAGCTGTTTGCCCCAATCTAGGAACAAAAGCAATGTCTGATGTTACTTTAGGTTTCTTAAAAAACAGTGCTCATCACTTTTAAAGGGGCAATATTATGTGTTTCTCAGGCATACATTTAAATACTATACCATATTAAAGTATCTATGTCACCTTTAGCTGTTATTAAAATGCTGTTTTTATGTTTAAATAGAAAATAAACTTATCTTCTCATCACTTCCTCTTCCAAACGCCTTGAAATTGGCCTCTGTCTCTTTAAGAACCACCTCCGCTTCTGTCTCGCCCATTTCAGTGTGTTTGTGTGAGTATGGGAGGGGAGGGGGGGTCGCGCTCGCGAGGGGAGGGAGTGGGGCTGCTATGATGCAGTTTACTTGGCATCTGAAAATACATTTCCTCAAAGGTTTTTTTTTTTAATCTGAAAAGAGCTTCACTGTGTGAGAACTAATGTTGAGAGCTCAGCAGACAGTTTAAGTTTCACTTTCAGTTTCACCCGAGAGCCTGCAGGAGTCATGGGCGGGGTATGTGGGGAGGGGGGAGGGGCGGCGCTCTGCCATGAAAAGGTTCTGCTTCTGGTTTCTGGTCCCCACCTGTCGTTTTGCTCCTCAGCATGACTTCCTAAAAACGCTGCAGGATTTCTCAAACATMCATGAATGAGTCARAGCAAGGCTTTGGGCATGTTTTTTTATGAGTATAACATTATAAAATGATATAAAACTAAAAAAGGTTGATTTTACATGATATTGCCCCTTTAAGGAATCATTGCTCCAGCCAGTCCTGCTTTACATTTTTGGTTTTCTGTATATAAGTTTGACTGAAAATGCTACATTTGAACATTTTATTGTAGGTAGTATACCTAAAGGAAACTTATGTCAGGTTAGTTGATACATCTAAATTGCCACTTAGGTGTGAGTGAAAGTGTGAAGGGTTGTGTGGCTCTGTGGTGGACTGATGACCTGTTCATGGTGCAGCRATGCTGAATATAGGCACCAACAACCCTTGATGGAAAAGCTGGTAAAAAAAAAAAATCAAATAAAATGGAAAGGTACACTGTGTTAAAGGTTGGCATTTGGCAAAACCAGTACCAGATCAAGACTGTTAAAAAAGAAAAAGGGTGAATTCATGATTGAGATGAAGTAAATTCAAGACTAAAAGAGAAACGGATTAATCACCTGAAATTTTCCAGTGAGCTGCCTTGCTTTCCTCAATTAGGGCTAAATTATCAGTGGTTATTGGCCTGGCCCTAATTAAATGTGATAGTGAGCTACGCTAATGCAATCCTTGTAGCATAATTGGTGTCAGAGGGAAAGGTTTGTCTACTCTTGTCTACAAGACCTTCTCAATCATTTCCTCCCCCCATGTGACATATCTGCTTGTACCCTGGGCGTTTCTGATCCTGCCTCTGTTTTTTTATTTTTTTATTTTTTTTGAAAAGGGGAAAAAAATGTCTTTCTGAAACAACCAAATCCTCATGAGATGATTCAAGTGAAGCCTTTTTGAATACCCCGGTGCCGTTTTGTCGAGGAAATTCAGCCCCTTTCCTCTGTGGTCAGAACAAACTTCAGTTGGAAAAAGGAAGCAGCATTTAGAAAATCTAAAGTGTATTGTGGGGCAAAAATATATCAACTTCACCAAGTTACAAATAAAACCAGAAAAGTGTGACTTTTCTCACTTTGTTCAGGTAGTTTCCCTAGTTTTTTTGCTGCTTTGAAGCATCAACAAAAAGCCGTGCTGGCTGAACGCTTCCCCAAAGGGCTGTAGTAGCCAGGTGATGAGCAGTAGCTGGCTTTCACTAGATACAGCAATTGGCATTCAGGCCAAAGCGTTCAGTTCTTGTCTCATCAGTCCAGAGAAGCTTTTTCTTCATGCTTTTCAGAATGTTTCAAARTGTTATTTTGGCAACTGCTGTTGGGCTTTTGTGTGGTTTTTCCACCGGAGTAGATTAAGATTCTGACCATCTTCTTATAAAGTTTTGATTGATGGAGCGCCGAGGAGGTGGTTGTGCTTCTGGTTACCTCTTTCATGTTTACTAAGCTTGTAGTGTTCATTTATTCAGTTTCACTCCTCGAGTGTGCGCTTTGGTTAGTTTGCAACTTGTGTTCCCGGACTCTTGATAGATTTTTTTTTTCTTTTCAAACTCTTCATATTAAATTTTCCTTTGAAGAGATTTTCAAACTCCATTGCTTGTTTTTTTTTTTTCATGTATCACATGGACGGGCRTATTTTTCCTTTTGATTTCAAACCAGTCGGACCAATTTCAGGTGCACTCCAATGCTATTTTACATCTGTTCCATATTAACTTAGCATCTCTGCTCTTCATTTATCTGCGCTGCTGCACTGAATCATCAAGCACAAYAGCAGCTGTCAGCAAAGGAGCTTATCAATCGCAATATAAAGAAAGAAAGCAGCTGCTCTTTACTATTTAACTGCTTCATGGATGCTATGTAATCTGTGAAATGCACGTACTTAAAGGCAGATTTACGGCCCGAGGCAGTTGAGCATCTGGTCTCAAATCTTAAATGGCTCCTAACGGGAGTGTCCGGTTCTGTGGGCGACATCTTAAAACGGCACTGAACTGATTTCAGTAATAACTAAAGCAATTAGCAGAAGCAGCTGAAACAAGCCGATGAGTTAATATTCAGGAATCTGTCATAAAGCACTTGGTGCCCCAGTGACAACAGATCTCTATTCAGAAGAGTGCTAAGCACAGCTTAGATACAGTGCAGAATAGGCCTGACACAATGAGC